ATGAATTAATTTTACACAGTCCCACATTTGGCTGGAGGTAACTGTATCACCCTGCTGGGGTCTCAGCCAGGTCTGGCCTGAGTCTCAACCATGATGATTTAAGTTTGAAATCTATGTTGGCCTATAAGGGGCATCGAGGCCTATCTGCTAATTATTTTCTTGAAATTTTAAGATAAGCATTTTTCCATGCCTTGGTTTAATTTTCATTTAGCCATTTCAATATTTTTTGTTTTAGACAACTCAAGGTTTTCAGTAAACTTAAATTTTCTATTTCGAAAACTTAAGGTTTTTTTTAAAGAAAATCCATTTTTTTGAAAACTCAAGAGGAAAAATGGAAAAATGTTACAGTTACATTAAAATTCCATGAAAATAAAAGAAATAGGTTTTGATGTCTCTTATGGGCCACCGTAGAAATCAGATTACGATGAACTTATATTTACTTAATCCCAAACAGAGGCCAAGATTTCCGTATAACCCAATGCTTATTAGCGATACAAGTGTGAGGGAAATTGTACGGTTCAATTAAGCTTGTGTATGGCGTTATACGCAAATCTTTCCGACACCTGTTTTTAAACAAGTACGGAATAAAAAGCTGCAACAATTGTCAATGAAAGCTATTAACAAGACGTATTTAATCCAAACCTTCGTGGCTTCATCTTGACCGTCTGCGTGACAACACTTTCGGCAATTCTGTTCTAGGGAAGATTCTGTGAGATTGAAAGGTTTTAACTCGTCACACGAGCTACAAAGTAAGTTCACTGAAAATCCCATGTCTCTGCATTGTTCTGGAGTCAATTCTGATAGTGTGAACTGAATAAGCGCCAAGAAAATGGAGAGGAAAGGAGACATATAGTTCGTCCAATCCATTTTGCACAACTCACAAGCGACAGTAGAATGAAGCACCGGCCCCAGACCTCTCGCAGTTTTTCCTGGGATTGTTTGCAAGAATCTAAATTTTGATCAGCATATGGGGAAGGAAAATCTTGGAGTTCACGGCTCAGTTTTTCCAGCATGTGAAGTTTTCTGGAGTTGTGTGTGTTTTTTTGTTTTTGTCAGGATGTAGAAATTAAGGAGAGTGTTTATGAAAGAGGGTCGTAAACATGGTAAATAGGTTTTGCATTTTCTTTTCGTTGCGTGACAGAAAAACGGATACATGACGTAGTAAAGGTGTTAGATTTCAGGTTGCACGTGTAGATTTCCCGCGCTTTTCGCTCAGCTCTGTCACCTTTTGTCGGCGAGAGGCTTCAGGCGAAGATGTCGCTCTCAAGCATCATTAGAAACCAAGGCAATGAGTATTTTCGTCAAGCTTGCCAAGGCAAAAACCTAGGCCTTCAGAAAACAAGGGAGTTATATGAACAAGCGTTGGCTCGCTACTACCAAGCGAAGGAGAAGGCCGAAAATCAGGACGACGAATCTTCTGCCGCGAAGAACATCGGCAAAGCGGCATGGAGGATATCAGGTGTTCTGGCACAGAAGATGGATGGATTTCAAATCATTCTTCACTATCAGCACGAAGCAGTCAAAGGTTTATGCGCCGCGTACAATCGAAGCGAGGATTGCAAATCGGTACAGTGGCGAAGCGAAGTTCTAGGAACACTGAACCTTTGTTTACAAGAAGTGATCGATTCGTGTGATACATTTCCCACCGACATGAAGATTTATCAAGTCGAGAGGCTCGTTTCTCTCACAACAGTGGATAGAGCCACAGCAGATCTACACTTGAAGTTGGCCAGCCTCTACTTCCACGACGGAGCCACCAGACTTCAGGATGGCGACTACAAGACGTGCCTTTCTCGTATGCGAGATTGCTATCGCCCCATCGAAGAAGTTAAACGTCTAGCTCGTGTTACCGAAGATGAACTCGACGATCTTTTGAGTGAAAGTGAATCCTTGGAGCAAGATGTATTCTATCACTCATGTTCTGCTTCATCTATGCAGGCTCGACATCATGGAGACCATCTTCTCACTGTGGCCTTGCAGGACGTGGAAGAACTGGACATGACCTTGGTTTTTGAGGTCATCGACTGGTACAAGCAAGCTGTTGTTCTCGCAAGAGAGATTGAACTAGAACAGGAAGCGATCGCGGAAAGCAGACTGGGAGTTGTCTATGATAAGGTGTTAAAGCTAACACACCGTGCCAAAACGTACTTCAATCACACTTTGCAGCTGGTTGAGTCCATGAAGCCTCGTGTATTTACATCGCATGACTGGTACAAGGAATGCGTCGCCACCCTACAGAGATACCAGGAAGAAGTGCGACAACGAGATGAGGAGGAGAAGAGAAAAGTACGAGCTAAGTATCTAGAGGAACTGTCAGAAGAGTTAGCAGATATCAAGAAAAACAACACCACTGCTATTGCTCTGATAAAACATGTCTACACTAACTATCCTCCAAAAACCTCTTCCTGGGAAAAACCAAGTGATGATGACATGGCCAAATGGGATTCAATGGAATCAGGCACAAAGGAATTCAAGAAGCTCCTTCTCAAGGCGTTGGCTGTTTTCCATCCTGACAAGGTCGATGAAAAGGAACATGGAATGAAGTGGAAGGTGCTAAGTGAAGAGATCACAAAAATGATCACTAATTACTATGAAAATACCAAGTTTGCATGCTGAACTGTTAGATAAAGTGACAAGAATGCCACACCCCTCCCTGGAGGGCAACAAGAGGGGGTAGGGGAACTAAAGAATAAAAGTGTCAGAAAGGTACTGAGGAGTTTTTAAGAGGTTTCAATATTTCAGGAGGTAATATACGTTCCTCCATATTTGTTTGTAGTTAATGGTATTCTTTATAATATTGTGGGGTCCTTTAGATTAAATTTAAAATTACTAGCTTATACTTTTTTCTGATATGATTAGATTTAGAAATTGCATTTTCTCTTGTTTCAAACTTTCAGTGTCCGTCCGTTCCTTCCCCTATATGGGAGGAGTAGATATTTGTGGTATTTTAGTAAATGTTACTTAACTTGCATCACTCTTTCTTTTTTGGTTAGCAATTCACTTTCTGTACCCCCCTCAGACACTTCTGCTATGTAGTTGACCCTGTCTCATGAGGAGATACTTAGTAGTGTCCCCTAAGAAACAAACTGGGACTATGACTGAATTCTTTGGTACAACATAGTAAAGTTTCAGTTACTTTAATTGTTAATACTTACTCAGCAATGTATAATTTTCTTTTAAGTGTTGACTGTAGGGACCTGTAGTTTTCAGAATCTTCCATGCTGACTTCTCTATGATATCAAGTTTGTTGTGGTTTGTGAGGTGTGCAATGGGGGAGGGGAGGGTATCTTCCATTTTTTATCACTTTATTGCTGAAATTACTGGTACTGATTTCATGTATTGGATTAGCTAATAACACCCAATTATGTATCTTTGTTCCTACCAATATAAAATTAATGCGGCCATTTAATTTGTAACACTTCATTGTTTGATTTGATCCAGAATATTGATAGCGCTATTATAAGTTGGTAGCTTTTAGTTTTTAATGCAGTTCCTGTTCAAGGACCATAATAAACAGATATGTCTTGTCATTCCCTTGAATGTTTGGACATTTAAACATTCCCAGAATCTGACACTTAAAATCAGTGCCTTTTTATGATCATCTTGCAATCTTCTTAATTTGGGATTGATGTAAGCTAAGTTGCCAGGAGCTTATCACCTGGGAAATAGCCTGGGCAATAGAGATAAAAAAAATCTCCCAGTATAACAGTTAAATACTTGTGATGGCGTAGCATTTATAAATTTGCAATCATTGACGTTCTTGTTGGAGGTTGCGTTTTAGAGTTATCATTAGAAATGTGAATCCAATGTTTCTTGTAAATATAATAAAATATAATTGTGAGAAATGAAATGTTTTTATTATGTCTTCTGCCTTACTTTTGGATTCGATAACCTTAAGTTTTATCAGAAACCCCAAAGAGGTTGAACAACCCCTTGTGAGTATCTAGTTTTTTGTAAAATAAGTTTTACAGTGAACCTTGAGAGAGGGGTTATTGAGGTATACACCTTATTTGATGGGTATTTTTTCAGTTGCATGGTATAAAGTTTTATGAGCAGTTAGCAGTACATAGTATTTTAACAGATGTCATCTGTGATCAGACTTTTAACAGATAGATTCCATGCTGCCATGTGTCTGTTCAGTAATTGATCACAGATGACGTCAAAATGTGGTAAGAACAAAAAAGTGGCACTCGAGCCATCAGGGGAGTGTTTTTCTGATGTTCCTATCACATTTTGACATAATCTGTGATCTGTTTCTGTACCAATGGATGGCAACATGGGAGCTGTCTGTTTTATATTATAAAGAAACAAATGCTAATGAGGGAGGGGAACAGGGGGGTTAGAACCTCCTGCTTCCTGTACCCTACTCTCCCTCTTCCCGTACCTTTATCTCCCAACTCCTGCCCTTCTCCATCTTGCTCCCATCCCCTGTAAATAAGTAGACTCAAAACATCCCGGTCATTTAGCTGTGCAATCCATAGGCGTTTCCTTTTCCTTTATTTCTATCCTTGCTCCTCTTACGTCTTTTGACAGCTTAAGTGAACATTTCATGACTTCTGATGTAACCAACGTAAAAGGGTTTCAAATTTTACTGGAAGTAAGCCCCAGTTTTTAATTCCAAGGGCAAATTTTTGCTTGCTTGTTTGCCCAGAAGTCTCAAAATAAGCTAAATGCAAGTCAAGTGCATTTTGGGCTCTTGTTTTTGACAAAAAAATTGCATTTTACGTAATTTCTCTCCTGATTCCTACCCTTTCCTCTCCCACCTCCCTCCCCCTATTCTCCTCAGCTCCCACCCCCCTGTCCCCCCACTAATGATGTCCTCCATACATCTGCCTTCCAATAGATCATAAGTAAGAACCGATCAAAATGCAAGAATATTTTGACTTACTGTGTAATACTGAACAGATGCACAGCAACATGGAATGACTGGAATATATTTGTATTTAAGTGCCCCTATGATCAAATTCTCGATATCCTAAAAAATACTATACAGGTTGAAATTATAACAGCAATTAGTACTGCAATTCACATAAAGAACAACAAAAACTTTGGTTCTTATATTCATGCAATTGCTATACTAATTGTTATTACAATTTCAACCCGTGTGGTATTTTTGAGTAAAGGATGTCATTTTCTCAATTCTCAACCAAGACTTGGAACAAGGAAAATTAACGGCGGCCGTAAATTCTCGGAAATAAAGATCTAAAAAACGTGAGTTGATAATAGATTGAAATTTGGAAAGATATCTAGGAGAGACTGTTTACAACAGGGGCACTTTGGAATATACGGGTATGATATTCGGGACATTATATGTAGGCTTACATGATATAGTGATTCAAACTATAATTGAGTTTGATGTGTTCATTTCATTTTCGTTTGTTGGCTTCCTTTCTACAATCAAGCGTTTAATGCTGTGAGGGGAAGGCATTTTAGTCATTCTAAAATATGACAAAAGACGTATTAACTCACGGCACTGTTTCCTCTTTGGCTGAAATCTGTTTAGAGTCTTCTCTAAGATACCTCGAATCGTCTGAGTCATGGAAAGAAAACACTTTCCTGCCTGAGGATATCTGTGAAGCACTGATATGTAAAAAGTTAAAGACGGGAAGCTGTGATGATGACTTTGTTGCAACGTATTTTGCTGACGTACAAACAAGTAGAATTACAAAGGTAAACGTAAGTGGTGCGGCCTTAACGGATTCCGGATTGGAGGTGCTATCTGTTCATCCTCTTCGAGAAGTCGATGTATCGAACTGTGAATCAGTGTCGGAAAAAGCCATTGTGTCCTTGGTAAAGTGCAAGAACACTTTGACTTCTCTAAACTTGGGAAATTGTACTCGAATCAATGCCTTTACTGAACTCCAACAATTGACTAGGCTCAAGAGTCTTGATGTGTCTCAAACATTATTAGATCAAAGGGATTTTGAGTGCCTATCAACTATGGTTCATCTTCGGAGTTTAAACGTGAGTGCAACGGAAATTATATCACTGGAGCCTGTAAAGACTATGACCTTGCTGACCAATCTTGATTTATCCAAGTGTGCCTTGCTTGAGAGTATCGAAGCCCTCAAAACCTTGAAAGGGTATGATATATTTTGAAATATTGCATTTAATTAAATAATCAGATGTGTAAATCGAAATCCTTGAATGTGATTGGTTCTCCACAATTTCTTTTAGTCACATGATTGGTGTGCAATTGTATGGGTGTTCAATTACAGCTTTACAGTTTCTTTGCGATTGAATATGTGTACTTGGACACCTGAGGCATTTGTACATCAATTCTATTACATGTACTTGATTGGGTACTTCCTTGCTGTTTAACATAATTTGTTTATAAAACTGATGGATCATGGTGGTGACATTGAAATCAAAAAAAGTCTACATAAACAATGGCAGAGGCTAAAACAATGATGTTTGCAAGATACTGAGAAAAAAAATACTCCAAAAAATGTACACTGGGTTATGTAATGCCCATGGTTATTATTTAAAATGACTGAAATTCCAGTAGCTACCTGCAAGCCCTAGGTTTTCCTTGTTAACAAAAATGTAATAAAACAAAGAGCAAAAAAAAAAAAAAACCAAAAGAAAAAAAAAATCGGGTTTTGAACCAATGTCCTATACCAAATTTCATCACATGCACGCGCTTTAATCACTTGCACCACGTAACACGTGCTAACAGAGGCTGGCCAATTTACATAACGATTTCCTTTTGTTTCGCTTCATTGCACACTATTTAACGACTCTTGGACATGTTGGCTTCAATTTTCTCGAAAACGAAAAGCAAACTGGTGAAAAAAAAACAGCAGGGCATTGTTAAGTAAGTAAATCGAAAGCCATATGGAAAAAATCACGCACTTTTGACGAAAAAAATTTTTTGACCTAAATAGTCACTTAGGAGGGTTTTCCACCAGCATCTTCAACTGTATGTAATGCATAAGTGATGTACAGCTACTGTCCTATTATAGGGCAGAATGCCTAAACTATCGTAGAAGTGCTTAGACTAGGCTTGCTGACAACAGTCATGTTTGAGAATCTTGGTACTTAATTCACGGTACTAGAGCAGGTCTGGGTTGGTGTGGACCTTAGGGGTGGGAGGGGGAAGTGATGGGAGAAAGGGGTGGTTACTTCCTTGTATAAGCTATGAAGGAATGTGTAACACCAAAGGGTAGGGTTTTTGTGTCGTTTTGGTCTTACACCCGCTTTCAGTGTTACGTACATAGCGACTATCTCTCGACATGCCATCTTTCAACATGCTATGTAACCTGGTCTACGTCAAAATGTTAGCACAACTGACTTCTTTACGGTCAAACTCAACTTTTAGTCATGAAAGATGGATTTATTTGACATCAGACTAGGCTAGGAGTATCAAGAAAACATTCTGTGAGGGATAAATCGNGAAAAATTCGGGTTTTGAACCAATGTCCTATACCAAATTTCATCACATGCACGCGCTTTAATCACTTGCACCACATAACACGTGCTAACAGAGGCTGGCCAATTTACATAACGATTTCCTTTTGTTTCGCTTCATTGCACACCATTTAACGACGCTTGGATATGTTGGCTTCGATTTTCTCGAAAACGAAAAGCAAACTGGTGAAAAAAAAACAGCAGGGCATTGTTAAGTAAGTAAATTGAAAGCCATATGGAAAAAATCGCGCACTTTTGACAAAAAAAATTTTTTGACCTAAATAGTCACTTAGGAGGGTTTTCCACCAGCATCTTCAACTGTATATAATGCATAAGTGATGTACAGCTACTGTCCTATTATAGGGCAGAATGCCTAAACTGTCATAGAAGTGCTTAGACTAGGCTTGCTGACAACAGTCATGTTTGAGAATCTTGGTACTTAATTCACGGTACTNCAAATATAAGTACTTTTGCCTTCATCTGGCTAAAAACGCCCGACTTCAAATCTTCCTGGCTGTTTAATAGAGGTGTAAAACAAAACAAAATCACCCTTGGGACAGCAAGAAGCTGGCCTTGGCCACTTGATAGAGGTGGCTGTTGAATAGAGGTTTTTATTACAGTGTATAGCTGACAATTTTTCCAGGACTTTGGCTGCTGGCCACCAAATAAAGGTTGGTCGCTTAACAGAGTATGTTAATCTGGCTCACATAGTCATCTGACGATCATTTTTAGTTAATAAAAACAACCTTTGGTCAAGATGTTCTATCTTTGATGAACTAACTTACCAATGTTCGTTTTCTATCAGGTAATACCAAGTTCAATTGTGACGACCTACAGCTGTTTAGGAATTGTTTTCCACAGAGGCTAAAATTTTTAGGATTGTTTATGACAGACATGTGCACTTTTCCAGAAATTCCTGCAGATGAAGTAAGTAAGGGTACCAGATAGAAATCCATTGCGGTGATGCTTGTGGTATCAAGCAAGTTTTTGATGTAATTATGTCAAAAAAATGAGGGCGAGTGCTTTATTGATGTTTCTTTCACCTCATGAGGTACAGTTCATTGTACTGTTAGAAATGAATTTACATTTTTATGAAGTCTTGTAAAAATTACATGGACTTAAAATGTCTTGAGCTGACTGCATTATTTATCCAAACGGGTTCAGTTTGGGTTTTGTAGTTCAGATTTGTGAGCCATAATTATGTGAGAAATTGTTGGTCTGCATATGTCATCAAAGTGCTAGACTGACTCTCTGTTGAGACTTGCAAATAGTGTGTGAGATTTTTGTAGCCTGTCTGACAGTGACTCAGTGTTATTCTACAGCCAAGGCCAGACAAATAAATTAATGGGAGATCATGTGATGGTCTAATGCTATGGAACCCAATAGTTATAAGCATCTGAAATGGCCTAGTACACTGTAGTTGGACTTGTAATCCAGAGTGCCCAGGTTTACATACACCCTGCCACCAGATGAATATGTGTTTGGTGATTTTTGTTTGGTGGTCCACTCAGGAGATAAACAAAAATTTTAAGTGAAATTTGTGGTCCTAACTGTATTGGGAATAATGACTGTGCCATTTTCTGAATACAAATTTGTTTGGAGCAGACCCAAATCACATGCTTGGCAAATGCTCAAGGACTTTAAGTATTTGCTTATTTTCTACAGTTATCTTCTCTTCTGAACATTGCAGGTATCAGGAAATAGTAATGCGAAGCAAGTCGTATTGTCAGTGAGAATGTATAATCACAGACCCACATTTTTGATCCAGGCCATGCGGGCACTGTTTGATATCATCCGAGATGACAGAGAGTTTGGTTTGAACAAAGACCTGATGTGCAGTGTAAGTCAATAAAGTCTACTTTACTCTTAGATTACTAATGTCTATTTGGGAAACATACAGCATGACATGAACATATACTGCAAGCAGTTTTCCTCTGTCAGTCAACCTCTGGGAGCAAAAAGTTCAATAATTTATTAATTTTGTTGTTTTTGGACAGGCTGTACTAGAGGCCATGGAAAGTCATCCCAAGGAAAGTAATATTCAACTTGCTGGAAGGTAATGGATATCAGTCAGACTAAGTAAACAGAAGTCTGTCTTCTAATGTGCAATTATTTCTCCTTGTGAGTGATTTGATCTGAAAACTCTTAACTGATAATGCCACCCACCACACAAATCCAGGTTACAATATCAGTATAGAATATTCCAGTCAAATCTCAGATGCCTTACCNATAAGCCGACTCGTTCCCAGATGTCTCTCGTGAAAACAGTCAAAACACTCCCCTTGTCTTACGGGGATTTGGGGGTTGTAATGACAAAACAATAGCGCAAGAACCAGTTTACTTTGGCCTGAAAAGAATTAGAGGAAGTTGTCCACCAGATAAATCATTATTTGGTATAGAGTGTACCTGATAGTTTTCTAATAACTGCATGCTAGATACTGGATATCTATGGTGATTGTCTAACTTGCGTAAAATAATCAACCTCTGAGGCCCGCAATGCGTGCATAGATGGTATTGCTTTTAAGATGCTAAACCTTATCTTGCTAGGAACGTGGTGGTGTACTGGAGTGTTGTTGGAGCGCATTGTGGAACGTTACAGGTAAAGCTTGAACACTTAAAAGCATTGAATACTCACAATTAGTGGATTAGCCTTCAAACAGAATGGAACAACCTAGCCTTCATGCAGACGTCTGCTGTTTCCATTTTTTGTTTTCAATCTGCTAAAGCAAACGTTTTGTTTCATTAATGTTAAATCTTTTATCTTTCAGATGAAACTCCAGAGAACTGTGAGTTGTTCATATCTCACGGTGGTATAAAACTCTTCATGGATTGTAAATTGGTGAGTAAGAAAAAACTAAAAGGAGTCAATCGAGATTAGTCCGCGAGTCTGTGACATTCTATTATGGGAGATGTGACTTCGTCAGGCGATCTTTCACATGCGACCAACTCAGAAGAACATCTGTAAATGTGTCCTCGAAAGAGGCTAGTAAAGTTTCGTGGATTGATTCTTGTTATACATGTGATACATTCTAGGCGTACTGCCTTAACAGGAAATGTAGAGGATCTGTAAAAAGATTGCAATGTTTTTTTTGCGCTCGACAGGAACTGGGGGATCAAAGGGATCTCGTGCGAAACATGCTAGGACTGATGGTAAGGTGTATGCTTCATGTCACCACGGTCACTTAGAGACCTTCGAGACTGGGAACGAAAATCGTGAAGTTCGCGTTGAGTTTTAGGACGTGTTTTCATTCAATGTGGAGCCCATTTGGAGGTTCGCTGACCGTCAGGTCAGCGTGCTTTTTTTCGGATCAGACGGTCCAGGTTTGAGCCCCGGCTGGGGTCATTGTGTTGTGTTTTCTGGGCAAGACACTACTCAGTCTCAACACAGCTGTATAACTGAATGGGTACCGGCAAACTACATGTAAATGCCAGAGGAGAACCGTTCAGGGGATTAGCGTCTCGTCTAGAGCAGAGTAGAAATACTCCTAGTTGCTTAATGCTACAGAAACCGAAGTCAGGTTCCAGCAAGATGGGACACTGGCCTGACGCAAACTTATCTTCATCTTTGATTTTACTTCAATGATGGTGTTTTTGTTTTCCTTGTCAGGGTAATGTGGCAGAAGTGGCTGAACTGAGATCAAAACTGATGGTGATTGCCCATGTTTTCTAGTAAGTTCAGCTCCGGCGTTATTACAGTTCTTCATTCTAGCTTTGGTTTAAAGCACTTTGTGGAAAGTGACGGAATACGATCGATATTTTACGCTCACAGTTATTCAAACCTAGCTCGTAACAGAAACTCCGGAGTGCAAGTGCTTTTGAGATGGTTTGAGTCCGCAAAAGGGAAAGGGGGGTGGCTCTCATCCTTTACAGTTTACTGTATTCCGTACATCAGGTTTGTTTCGAAAGTTCTAACCACATGCGGGATGTGAGGAGCAGGTCAAGGATTCCTAGTCAGAACTTTCTTGAGTAGAGAATTTCTGTAAAGTATGGCAAGCCTGTCGTTAGAAGTCTGGATTGCCAGAGAAATCGCGTATCCCTGTTAGAGTTTCACGTGAGAAAAAAAATTTCTCTTGCCACGAGCGTAGAACTAAAAGAAAACACCTCTGAGTTCATGATGGGAGTCGGGAGCACCCGGGGGGAGGGGGGGGACTCCAATGTAAAAAGGTCAGGGATGCTCGTCAGAAAATTGAATTGAATTAAGGAGACCAACCTGGGCATGGCTCGGGCTTTATTTGACCCCTAAAATACGTCTTTTCTGATTATTGTTTCTTCGATTGCAGCCCTAAAAGATACCTTGACAGCTACAAATAGTGGCATTTCGTCCTGAACACCCCAAGTGAGACAAAAATCCGTGATTTACACCCTTCATCGAGACGGCAACCCGGGCGGGGGGGGAGGGGCTACATAGGTATGTGCTGCGGGATAGGGTAGGGCTTTTGAGGTTCTCGATCCTTAAATTGGGTATCATTTTTGCCCCTGTTGGCATTGTGTTCCTCATGCGATCCTTAGATAGGGTACCCAAATTGTATCAGCTAGAATTGTCGTGCGTAAATGCCCAGCTTAACGAAAAACAAGTGATCCGTTAAAACTGGACTATTCGTATACGTCCATAGTTACAGAAACGAAATAAAGTTCAGCCGTCCACGCTGTTCTTAGTTTTTGTTTTTCCTTCAATAGGGTGTCATTATTTGGGGTTTGGGCCTTAAATAGGGTGTCATTTTTCATGTCTTTTATCCTTAAATAGGGTCAGTGTTTAAGACCTTTCGCGGCACACACCTATCCAAAATTCACGGAAGTACCCCCCGGGGACGACGAGCATCCCCGACCTTTTCACGTGGGAGTCCCCTCCGTGCCCGGAATCGGGAGTTTAACATTCTACATTCTGCATTCTGCAAACGGGTCGGATGTTCTAACCGCCGATCTACACGGAGACCTGTGGTGACCTTGGTCATAGCTGCTAACTATGTTTGAATTGTTATGAGTCTTATAAAGACAAGACTTCGGGCCAATACCAGCAGTGAGTTGTTAAGTGTGGAAGAAATCTTTGGCGGATTTAATCCTCGTCTATCTTGTTTCTTCCAGTGATCTGTTGCAAACTGAGGGTCAGTTAGAAGTGACTTACAATGCTGCAGGTATCATCTGTCACTTGGCCTTTGACGGCCCAGACAACTGGACTAACCACATGGTGTCACGTGACAAAGCACTCGATCGATTGGTAAGCTGCTGATATTAACAACGTGTTTGTCTCCGGGGTAGGAGGGGGTACTTGGGTCAATTTTTACTGTGTAAGTGTCGCTGACCTCTCAGAACCCCAACCCCATTGTAGGCTATTCTGTGGTCAGCTATAGACCACATCTTAGTCACTTTTGGGCAAATGTAATTTTTGCGATCGCAGCTTAGTCACTTTCTACCTTATAAAGCGTTTTAACTAGTTCATCCAAAAATGAAGTGACACATTTGGTAAAATGAATTTAGAACGGTAACAACTTTTTCACCCTCGAATCTTCCCATTTTTAAGTCCCTACTTGCCGGAATTTTCTAACTTCCAAAATCCCGAAAATGTGCGACCCCATTCTAGTGAGGCTCGATTTCCGCCGCCCTCTCGTGTCTGGTCTACGTTCTTCCCTCCTCCAGCCTACATTCTAGTAACTTTATTGAAAATGTAACTCCTCGTGAGAATGCGACCCCATCCAGCGGCACACCCCATTAGCCTATTAATAGGAAGTGCCCCCTTCTTTCATGAGTTCGTCTACAAACTTAAGTGCTGTAACTACTGAACCTCTTGCTCATGCCATCTCGTTCTTTCTACAGATGGTGACCATTAGTAAATGGGATATCAGCACACCCCGCCAGATGAGCTATCGGTAAGACTGTACTAGAGCTCGTGACAAGAAGCGTATTCTCACGTGTAACCGGGAAGAGAGGCCTTCTGTCCCACGATATCCCTTATCCCGCGGGCACCGACACGCCAAAAAGTATCTCGAAGACAGCTTTTCACGTGAAAATATCAAAGTAGAATCGAACCTCCTGTAACGGAGGCTTTATTTTCATCCTTCTTCGAGTGAACACCTCTCCTATACAAGGAGACACTTCCCCTAATTTACTGCAGAAAAATGTTCCCGTTGTGATCAGTTGAAGCACGGTGCATCCTCGAAACGCTCAACCGAAGTATCTGCAAAAGTTATTTGAAAACCCATATTTTCGGCCGGGCTATCTAGATTATTGGCTGATGGGAGGAAAATACCCACTTGATTGCTTCGTACATCGTGAACCGATGAAATCCATTTATTTTGATTATCAGTTTTATTCTTCCCCTGAGCGTACATCCATCCCCTCAAAAGGTTAATTGAAGAAATTTTACAATTCAAAACTGTTCAGTTCTGGTTTGTACCGTATTTGGATTGGATGTATATAAACGTAGCGTCTGGAAAATATAGGGTATTTAGAAGAATACAGCGTGCTAAAACAATGTAGCGATATTAAACACGAAAGAAAGTTGTACAATCTCTGCTATTCCACAAACGACATCAAATTGTAAAAGTTCGTCAATGGGAGGCTTATTACCGGGAAAAATTATACCTTTAAGAGCCGAGTCTAGGTAAGATTTTATAGGCTTATTCTCGTGATGAGGCACATATAATCGAAAGAATTTTTACGCGTGAGATTTTTAGAATTCTTTTTGGGAGGGGGGAGGCTTATTTTCGAGGGGAGGAGTGGTTACTATCAGCATTTCATGACATTTCGTTGGCCTTGCTTGGTCTTACTTCTTTCGTTTTCCTTTGCAGGTCGTTTGCTCCAATATTAAGATTGATATCTGGCTGTGATTCTCCTGCCATTCACTATTGGGCTACATGGGCGCTGGCGAACCTTTGCAATGTAGACCGTAAGTTCTCCTGCGCCAGTTGACTTTTAAAATTGTTTTAACTAGCGCGTTCTTTCGTTCCAGGTGCTTTCACTCATGCCTTGAAGGTGGATATTCGTCTTTCTAATTAAGACTGTACGTAATTAAAGTCCCTTGATCGTAAAGGGAAAAGGCATATCTGCCAGAAAGAAAATGGTCAGAAGTGCGCGTGCAAAAACGAAGGTCCCCAGCTAGGTTTTCACCTTGCCATTATCTTGTATCAATCATTGCTTTGCTCATTGTTCAACGTTCCTCAACTTAAAAAGCACTTTCCTTAGGTAGTTTCCATAGTGCCTGCGATGGAGACAATCTTATATATCGATGTGATTTATTTATTCATTTAAGTATGTATTTATTTTTCAGCTGATAAATACTGTAAACTAGTTTCTGACGAAGGTGGCATCGGGCTATTGCAAGGTCTTTCCGAGAACTCCCGAACGTCTTCGAGAGTCCGAGAACTCGTCGACATGACCCTCGGACAGTGCCGGCAACACGTGGAAAACGTTTAGTTTTTCAGAGCCAGGATTTAACTAAAGAGAGGAGAAAAAGGAAAAAACTGTCCTTTGAAACAGTTCAGCCTCTGTCCATAGTACGTGGAGACAACTATTGACATTTCGCGTTACGTCTACGATTTGTAACTACAATAGCTAGTGCTTATAAAACTGCTGTAGAAGCGTGCTTTTAGGAACGCGTTGATGGATGCCTTCTGAAGTTTTTGATTTGTGTAAATTTAGGGCTCTGTCGCTTTGGAATGGCTTTATTTAGGGATTTCATGTAATTTATTACGCCCAAGAGTAGATGGAGTTATTAATTTTGAGATCACCGTTTATATTTACGGTCACATGTACGATAGTGTTCCTTAATTTGTTTTTCCGCTAACCTTGCACACTGCGTCGAGTGATGATATGATCAACACTAATCGCAACTATATAGGTACCCTAAGATTGGACTTCGAATACGAGATTAAGTTCGAGTACGATTTTCGAATTTCAAACCAGTGATGTTTCCAGAGCCCTCGCTCTTCATGCTGGTTTTAAGTGGAGTGGGTAGCTCATAGGATGAGATGGGCTTGTGACGTGATAATTTAAAGTCGTACTTGTACTCAAATCGTAAGTCCCTTATTGTCGAAGACGATCATAACGATAATGATGAGAGTCAGAAAACTGTCTACTTTGTCTAAGGTAAAATAGCTTTTTTTCCCTTAAAGGGCAGCACCGTGCTTCTACGAAAACACGAAAATGATAAGATAACATGGCCCCTTAAGTCAGGGTGTGTGTGCGGGTAGGGGGGGGGGGGAGAGTGTGTTTTCGGAGTGACGCGGTTTGTTTTTTAACTGTGGCTCTCTTGAAAAGTCTGCTGCGGTCAATTTAATTGACTCAGGGCTTCAAGAACCGCTTGACAATTTTCAGTTATTTTCGTCTGATATTTTTAAAATCCCGAAATGTAATTTCTTCTCAGGCTTTAATTTATATCTCTAAATAACAGACTGATAGTAAACGCTAAAATATAAGTCGGTGTGGACGGTTTTCACTTGAGTGTCGAAACGAAATTGGTTTTGCAATATGGCTTAAAAAACACTCACGCCACTTTGTCAGCCAATCAGAAGTAAAACTAAAACCAACCGTGACTCACTCACTTAAGTTTTCCCGCGCTTCGCGTAACCTACATGTATTTACTGCGAGGTTTGATTGGTTCACTGGAACGTCTGTGTCCTTTGTGATTGGCCAGAGTGTTAACTTTGGTTTTGGTTGTACGACACTCAATTGAAAACCACTCAAACTGATCTAATGCAGCTTTTTGACGTATACTTAAGGTTGTACCTGTTCACGTCAGCTTGAAAAAACAGGGACAAAGAACTGAATAACTTGAATTTGACATCCCTTGTGGTTTTATTATGGGAATCACGTATCCTCGTGAAACAACATTTACATGCAAAACTGCTTTGGGAAAAATGTAGTCTCTGATGTAAATGATTGTGTGAGCGGTGTAAAACATGTAATTTATAGGATAGTATCTGACTTGTATCTTGGTAATTGTGACAAACACAGCATGCCTCCAGGGAAATGCATAAGTGTGGTACTTTTATGTAAGTAAGTTGCAAAATAAAAGAAACAATAAATGAACACTTGGCTGCCGGAGAGGTCCATTTCTGGGGGGAAGGGGTGGGTGTGGGCAGATGAATTTCGGAGCTTACGATGTATGCTAACACGTATACATTCAGAACATACTAGTTGTGCAACGTGGAATATCCCAAGAGTCACTTTCATGATATAGACACGAATGTTTTACTGGAAAATACACCACTCGTAAAATTCACACGAAACCACATCCGGGACTCGAGTGGCGTATTTTCCATATCCTTACTAGTGTAGATATCGATGTTTTCACTGATATCAAGTTTGTCTCTTAAATTGTACTTAAATTCGTTGGTGTATCATCAAAACATCTTCGGGTCTTCCTCGAAAGTATTCGACAATCTTCGGTAGTCTACGGAAATTTTCGGAAAATGTTCGGCAATGTTCGTGTTACCTTGGGACAAGTTTTGGAGAATCTTCGGAAATAATCGGAAAATGGTCGGAAATCTTCGTAAAATCGTCAAAAACGCCGCCATCAGTATGTCTATATAATGAAAAGAACATTACACGTTAGCTCGAAGATATGAATTTTATGTTCGAGTGGCAAGAACAATATCTCACGAGTGAGCGCAGCGAACGAGTGGGATATTTCCTTTATGAGAAACCAGAAACTGCAAGGGACCGCATACGATAAACGCTGCCATTTTATGTATTTTCGGACCGTAGGTCTTTTCAGATCCGATACGATGCGTTTTTAAAGCATGGTACTGGTCANTCGCAGCATGCAGTCATTGATCGTCACTACCGAACCCCGAAAAGAAAACTTGACACAAATCACAGAAAATCGCTTGTAATCTTTTCTGTTATCTGGTGCTTTTTAGCTAAAGTGCGCCATATCGATCGGAAACTGTAATCGACCTGAGGAAGCGAGATGACATTTTCATTTCCGAAAAATACAAACGAAAGGAAGTAATTTTTTCCTAAATGGACTATTCTTCATAAACACGTGTGAATTCCCAAGGTAAAGCTGTCACTCGTGCAAACTTCAAGTACATATGCTTCATTATTGACCCAGTATATTAGTCCATAACATTTATTGATTAGAATCTCGTGTGACTCATTGAAGAACTTATCCTAAAAGGAAAAAAAAAACAAAAACAAAAACAAAAACAAAAACAAAAACAAAAAAACAAAAACAGAAAAAAGCAACAAGAAGTAGACAGTTTCCATGATAAAAACAGTTACATATCTTGGAAAATACACAAAACTGTATATGTGGCATAAAATAACCGAAGAAATCCAGTCTATTACTTGGAAAATAACAACAGCAGCGCTTCTTGTTATTGCTGAATCATGCCTAAGGCCCCGTTCACATTACGCCGGAGAAATTTGAAAACGCAGCTTTATTTCTACGGTTAGGCCTACCCTCCACACTAACCGTCACGAAAACAGGGCTTTTCGAAAACGCTCTTCAAACAGGAGAAATTTGAAAACGCCGGCTTTGCGTTTTCGTGTTGAAGGAAAACATTTTGAAAACGGAGCTTTCCGAAAACGATGAACTCACGATAATCATGTGATTCCCCTGCACGAGATCCCGGGGTACTCCCCCACAGTACCTATTTTACCCGCCCAACGGGGTCGTGATTTTGGGACTCCTGATCTAGAGCGGGGTATCCATTTTCGAGACTTTTCCTTGAACGGGGTTTAATATTCCTAACGCCCTTGGTCACGATATAAAGAGAACCGTGTTTGTGTACGCGCGGCGCATCTTGATAAAATTAGCCTGTCTTTTCAGTTTTGCTGTTCGTAGTGTGTCGCAATTTTCCTCAGTCACGACCAACCCTTACATGTTTAGAGCGCTTTTCGTTTAAGTGTCTTAAGACCAAAACAAAAGTTACCATTCTTATGCGGACATTCCAATAATGTTGCACTTTAACACACTAGGTTGCTTCAACCTAGCTTAGAATTACTTCAGCCAGAAAAACGTTCATTCTGTGACACATTTTAATTTCATTTCCTATTTTGCACGGTCATTTTAGCGATATCTAAACAACTTGGGTTCATCAACTTCCTTGTCTAACTAGAACTTGTTTACATTTTATCTGATTGGTTGCGGTTAGCTATTAAATAGTTCTATCCTTCTATCCTAAAAACAGTAACAAACACGTACACGCCCACGCACACACACAAAAATTTAGTCATTCTCCATCAATCGACTTTTCCTGATATATCATAATCTCTTGGCTTTCGCTGTACCCATTCGAGCCATTTCCAGTAACTGATGACGATGTAAACCACATCGAAACATGTCTTACCAGATAAAGCTGCCCTTGTTGGCCTTAAACTGGCGATTTACAACCACAGCTTTCCCGCAGTCAATTTAGATGTGCAGGCATTAGTAGGCAAGTTGTTCACACTCAACACGGAAGAAAGGGCTTTTAAGATTGGCACGACTATGAGCACGAGATTGATGACGAGTATGATTTTCGAATTTCAAACCAGTGACGTTTCCAGAGCCCTCGTCACGGTCTTATGTTCGTTTTGGGTAGAGAGGGTAGCTTATGGAATGAGATGGGTGTGTCACGTACTCCTACACAAATCTTAAATCTCCCAATGCTGGACTACAAATCTCACTACAAACCAGTACCAAAAAACACACAATTGTATTAAAAAAGTCCCCACAAAAATCTAGTATTGCTAGGCCAGTAGACTTTCCTTGATATATTGCAGCGCATCGTTGTAGCCATTCCGATAAAGTTGAGTCAATAGTCGTTTTCTTGGTGGATACAAGATGTTTCTTGCCCTTCGCATGTTTTCTCTGTTGACGTACACATGCATGTTCCTCCAGTTCATTTCCGAAAAGACGCGGGATTCATCCCGCGGGCAGATCTCGCTATTCCCGCTGAACGGCGACACTCTTATCGTAAATCCCGTGGGGGGAAGTGGCTGGTTGTCAGTGAAACCACCATCGTACCATGCCTGGGTTAAAAAAAAAAATAATAATAAAAATAAAAAATTAAACAAAAAAGGCTTCAAAGAGCGATAGAATTCGAAGGTGCAATGTACTGAAACGTCAGAGTAAAAAGACATCTACCTCGGCACAAGTAATTCTCTCCTACTTCGATACAGCTCTAAAGAGGTCCGCGGTGAAGTGCTAGAGTGGTTTTGAATTTGGTGCAGTCAAGGCAACCCTAGCTTCCCCCGTGCTCTCAAAACTCCCGAATACCGTAAACTACCGCTTATATATAAGCCCTAGGCATACACGTATACAATTTCGTAAGGGCTAAAATTGCAACGCAATCGCCAACGGCCTAATGTCACGTATTAATCGTATTCAACGTCTGGGCCGCCTGTGGCAAGACTAAGGCCCATTTAGCGTCATGATTTAACGGCAAAAAACGGCTTTCTTGTGAAAATTTGGTAGTCAAAGGGTTAAGTATTAAAGTCGCATAACGGTCAGTTTCCTTCCTCAAGTGTTCTATAGCTTGGGAAATGAACTATCCAGAAAAATGAGAAAACTTTGCCTATGAACGACCCCTGGCCACTGCACAGGGTCTGCACACTAATGGCTGATAGTATACGATAGCTCAGCCAATCAGATTGCATCATTTGCATAAGTATACTGGTAAACAATTAAGGTTGGTTATTTGCATAAGTATACTGGTAAACAACTAAGGTTGGTTGGGTTTTTCCGCGTTCGATCAGCCAAATCCGGTTTTAAGTTGGTTGGTCGGACTGCCGGCATCAAAGTCGGCTGAAACAAAAAGTTTCCGCTTACAATCGTTTTCGATTGAATTAGTCGATCAATGTTCACTAGCAGTCATTTCAGCCACAACCAATCAGTAGTCCCGATAGAACTCGGGGTTCCAATAAGAAAATTGAACTGAATTTACCAAAACTTGTTTCAGTCGCAACAGTTGGAGCTGCGTATTGTTCTCTTGTAATCAAAACAAAACAAAGACACAAGGATATGATTATTAGTATTCATGTTAACAATCTCAGATTGGCTACTCATATAAAAAATTAAAAAGGTATTCAAGGTTATCTTGGAATGAGAAACAATTATTTTTGCCAATTGATTTTATTAATAATGCAATGTAGTAACAGCATCAGCAATATATATTTTCTTTGACACAAAATTTTTCACCCTCAAACTAAATTCAATGACTGCATAGTAAAAATACGCGTCGACATGTATACATGACCCTGTTTTGCTCTACATAATATCAAATTGCCCATTCATTATATCGATCTATTTATTTTTAGCATAAATCTACTAGCGTTCTATTACAAATGCTGTTCTCTGATTGGCTACGCTACTCACTATCTATACTGTGATAGATAGTGAGAAGCGTAGCAGTGTGCGCTTGTTAACAGAATGACGGCCGCTTATTTGCGTTTTCGAGGTGTCTGTGAAGAGTGTTTAGATATTCTAAAGTTTTGAACGACTAGTAGATTTATACTAAAGCAATGAGATTATTCGCTCTCGATTTCTATGCGAGAAAGCTGACTCGGGCTGCGCCCAAGTCCACCATCACGCGATAGAAATGTCGAGCTCATAATCTAATTGCTTAGTACACAGTGGA